GGAGTGTTATCCTGCAAAATCAGAAATGTTATCATAGCTCTGGCATCTGACGGCTCCAACTGTGGACAATTTTCGAAGTAGATTAAGTCAACAGGGTGTACCGTACTGTGCACCATAAGGGAATAATATGTCATAGGATCAGCTGCAAACTCCTCACATATAGTTACAATATAATGGATCAGCTGCAAACTTCTCACATATAGTTAAAATAAAATGTGCTATAAGGGTGCCAGCTTTATTTTTTTTCCCAGTTACTCCTTAATAGACTTGTGGATCACTCCTTGTAGGGGCGATGGTGTGTGTGTTACAGCAGACAAAAAGGGGAGATGTTTCTCCAGATATTCATAGCGCAGACAGATCTTTGCGTTCGGTTTCGTACGCACAAGTCAGACCGTCAGGTGTATTGCTTCCACGAACTCGCATGTCAGCTGCAGGTCCTTCATGGTTCCCCATAGCTTGCTCTGCACACTTTGCTCTTGAAGCCAGGTTTCTTTTCGAAGTTGTAGGTAAAGTGGGCAGGTCTGCAGAAGGTGCTCAGGTGTTTATCGCCCTGACAAGCATCATGTGGGGACTGTACATTCTTTAATTTATGTATGTGGTAGTTGAGCCTGCAGTGTCTTGTTCGTAGACGGAAAATTGGTGTATATTGCTTTCTGTTGAGTCTATTGATGGGTTCTTGTTGATGTTTACTTGGTTTGTTCTCTTCCCAATTCCCTTTATTTTCCCTTGATAATTGTTTTGATTTCTGACAATGATTTCTGACAATGACAGTGACAGGGTATGTTGTTTCTCCTTTGTTTTATTTTTTGCAAGTCTGTCCGCTAACTCATTTTGTTTTATGCCGCAGGGAGCTGGGATCCATTGAAGAACGGCTTGATTGTTTTCTGAGAGCCTGTTTAGCCGGCGGGTCAGTTCTCTCTCTTTGATACCTTTGAGTCGCCTGGAGGACTGACATGCAGTCACAAGGTTTTTCATTTTCTTTCCTCAAGCACTTTGGTTGCATCAATAATTGCTTGCTGCTCTGCTCTGAAGTTTGTTGAGAGTCTTCCAGAGGCGCATGACGTTTCTACTGTGGTTCCATCTTGCAGCATGATGACCGAACCTGCTCCTCCGTTTTTTCCTGCTCCCTTCAATGATCCATCGGTGTATACGTATATCCATTCGGGTTTGGGGTAGGAGCTATAGACGTATGCAAAGGTCTTTGCGTGGAGTACTAGATCACATTCTTCAGCTTTCTATGCCATGATTTTTTGTTGTTACTGCATGGTTAGACTGTAGGGCTATATTGTATGCCAGGATCATTTCTCACTCTGAACTGTTTTTAGAAAGGATGTCAGTTTTTTATGCAGAATAATTGTGATAGATGATGAAAGCTTTGTCTTTTCAGTCGGTTTTCGGTTACGTTGTTTGCTATTGTGTGTTGTTCATGCATTTATATTTTCTATTGCGGTAAGCACCTTTTCTTCTCTTCTATGGCTCACACTCTGGAGGCAAGAAATTGCCAGATCATTTATTGGTGTGATTCTCATGCATCCAGTGATGATTCTGAGACCAGTGTTCTGAATCTTATCTAGTTTGTATAAATTGATTTGGATGCAGTAGAGTATGCTCCCATGCCATTCTCCAGTTTTGGTCGTACGTATCCTGTGTATACTTGTCGTATTGTGTTGGCATCTGCTCTCCAACTCGTTCCAGTAAGTTTCTTCATAAGCCTGAGCCGCATCGTAGCTTTCCTCTGGGTATCTTCAATGTGGGGGCCCAAGGTTATTATTTTGTCGAATTCTACTCCCAAATTGGTGGGGTTATCCTCTTTTGGAAGGATGTTGCCTTCTAGGTACATATCAACGTGTTTTAGCTTTGTGGAAAGAAAAAGAGAGTCGAGACCTTTTTGATTTGGTTTGTTGTGACTTCCCAAGAATCTGCCCATTTCTTAATTGTATTTATAGTTTCCTGCATTCTTATTTTAGTTGTTCATATATTTTCAGCTTGGGTCCATATGACCAGGTCATTTGTATATAGGGCCATGTGAATGTGAGTCGTGAACTGTTTGAGGTCATTGATGAAGAGAATAAAAAGGGAAGGAGATATGACATCTCCCTGAGGGACACCTTCTTGAAATATGACCAGCCCTGGTTGGCTAACTGGATGGGGCAGCATTGTTGGAAAGAACAGTTGTATTTTCGGCTTGGGTTCATATGGCCAGGTAATCTGAATGTAGGGTTTTGTGAACATGAAAAGAATAAACGTGGAAACAAGACAACCACCATTTTCGGAAGAGCTACCGTGGTGAACACCTATATTGTGTCGAAAATCCTCTTTTTGGCCACAGTAATGGATCCCCCTTAAAAATTCGTTAAGGAAATTAATAAACACATCAGGAAGGTCATCTTCCGTTTCACCATTTATTGGATTAAACACCACACCTTGATCCAGGAAAAAAGAAACGGGGGAATTTACCTCAGGGACTTAGAAACCCAGATTAGAGCCTTAAGCTTAAGTAGAATCGGCGAAATCATCCAGTTACCAAAGCGAATCACCTAGCTTTATATTACATAGCAATCAGGATCCATTTCTTGAGGAAGATCTACAATAGCAGTGCCAATCACTTCAGAGCTCTTCCGAATTTCTACAAAAACGCTCTACACACCCTGCCGGGAAACGAACATTTAATACATTTAATACCCACACACAAAATATACAAAAACCTAATCCGGAGGCTTGACCCGCCATTCCACCTGTGGATAAAATGGCAGCAGCCGCCTCATACAGCATGTATCAGTTCGTGTGCCAACATACCTCCATGCCATGCAACAAGACTGTCAAGAATCTTCTCTCGTTGTCTTCCTCTATCCCTCCTTCCACAGATCTTTCCAATGTTCACAACATTTTCTTTTTTTCCCTCTTCTCATAACACGGCCGAAAAATGATGACTGTCTCCTTCTGATGTCTGGGATAAGTTGTCTTCGGGCTCCCCCCTCTTTCAAAACCCCTTGGTTGCTCTTTTTTGGCTGTCCAGGGTATTCTAAGCATTCTTCTGTAAAACCACATCTCTGAGGCCTCCAGAAATTGTCTGGCCTGCCTACACTGTATTTATTCTATATTGGCAGGCAAATTTTTCCTCCAGATAATGCAACTGAAAAAAGGTGGGGGGGGGGGAGATTTTGCGTCTTGCCTTGCCAGCCCGACGTGCCATCAACGTGATTCCATGGTCAGTTTTGGGATCTGAAGTCTCTAGGTTTCGTTAGTCTATTGTGAAGATGTTTGGGCATGGAAGTAGAGAAAGAAAATTATTATGGCCTGGAGAGAATGAGGCACCTGGGTGTAACCAAAGGGTCTGGCCGGCTCACTACACTCAGAGGAAAGGCAAGACGCTGGCTGCTGAAGATGAGGACGGAGCATGTATGGGAATGTCCCGAGTGCTGTGATGTAAATTCTTGACTCAACTCAACTCAGCTTAAGGCATGAAAGTGAGGGTCTTATCTCAAACGATAGACACTCAAGGCGAAAGCAGATAATATGCGTTCTTCAACATTCACAAAGTTAATATAATTCAAGAATGAGAACATAATAGGATGCTTTTGCTTCTATAAATACAAAACACAAGCCAGTGAGAGTAAACTAAATATAGTAAACACTGGTCATTACTTGTACATCATTGTGGATATATTTTGTTTTATTTCCTATAAGCTGTAGCTGTATGTTTATCGTAAATTAGATATATCACATATAATCTGTATCTGTATGTTTAGCGTAAATTAGATATAACACATAAAATCTGTAGCTGTTTAGCGTAAATTCGATATATCACATATAATCTGTAGCTGTATGTTTAGCGTAAATTAGATATAACACATAAAATCTGTAGCTGTTTAGCGTAAATTAGAAATATCACATATAATCTGTAGCTGTATGTTTAGCGTAAATTAGATATAACACATAAAATATGTAGCTGTTTAGCGTAAATTAGATATATCACATATAATCTGTAGCTGTATGTTTAGCGTAAATAAGATCTATCACATATAATCTGTAGCTGTATGTTTAGCGTAAATTAGATATATCACATCTAACCTGTAGCTGTATGTTTAGCGTAAATGAGATCTATCACATATAATCTGTAGCTGTATGTTTAGCGTAAATTAGATATATCACATATAATCTGTAGCTGTATGTTTAGCGTAAATGAGAGCTATCACATATAATCTGTAGCTGTATGTTTAGCATAAATTAGATATATCACATATAACCTGTAGCTGTATGTTTAGCGTAAATGAGATATATCACATATAATCTGTAGCTGTATGTTTAGCGTAAATGAGATCTATCACATATAATCTGTAGCTGTATGTTTAGCGTAAATGAGATATATCACATATAACCTGTAGCTGTATGTTTAGCGTAAATGAGAAATATCACATTTAATCTGTAGCTGTATGTTTAGCGTAAATGCTATATATCACATATAATCTGTAGCTGTATGTTTAGCGTAAATGAGATATATCACATATAATCTGTAGCTGTATGTTTAGCGTAAATGAGATATATCATATTTAATCTGTAGCTGTATGTTTAGCGTAAATGCTATATATCACATATAATCTGTAGCTGTATGTTTAGCGTAAATGAGATCTATTAAATATAATCTGTAGCTGTATGTTTAGCGTAAATGAGATATATCAAATATAATCTGTAGCTGTATGTTTAGCGTATATTAGATATATCACATATAATCTGTAGCTGTATGTTTAGCGTAAATTAGATATTTTCACATGTAATCTGTAGCTGTATGTTTAGTGTAAATTAGATGTATCACATATAACCTTTATCATAATTTACCATAATTACAATATTTCTGAAATTATTCTGTTTTCTTTTAATCACACAAACTTACAAAGTACCTGCTAAATAACTGCATTTACATTACAGAACCGATTCCGTGCAAATACGATCAACTTTCGGTGTAACACATTCTTTTGACATTTCTAACATCGATGAAGTAATTATTCGTTTCCTTCTTGTAACTTTTTTGCCTTTTTTGCTTTTTTTGCCAGCTTTTTCTGTTGTCGTTTCAATTCTTCTTGTTTCCACTGCTCTTTAAAAGCCTCAGAAAAACTTTTTAAAACATGGGCTGGCTTCACTTTAGATTTTCCTGATTTCGATTTTGAAGAACCCGGATCCTTTTGATCAATACTCTTGTACATATTCTTGATCTTTTTTCTACCTGTAAACATACAATAAACATCGTGATGAGACTCATGAGTTTTTTAGTACCATTTTAACATCTGATATCACTATTGTTCAAATCTAATCTATTGCATTTATTTTGCAACATCCTATTTGTAGCCTAACTCACTTGAAACAGCACCGACACACTTCTCCTGGGGAGAGACTGAAACAAATATGATAAGGCAGTAAGGGCGCGAGGTTAATATCTCCCTTATGACTTTGTTAAAGTAAAGTGATGATCCCTTTTCCACACCTTTAGGCATATAGGGCTAGACCTACATTTTTATAGACCAATCGGCACAAGATGGGTGATGCGGTCAGGATCACGCCTATGACCATGTCTCATATAGATAAGGTTGCCCTACTTTCTCCTTCGATAAAACGACTAGGGTACTAACCAATGACCACTACATGGGGTGAGGTTACCACATGTCTTCGTTTTTGCGGACACGTCTTCATCTCACTGGTAAATCTAAACGTCCACAAACGATTGTGGACATTCGTGTATTTGTCCGCAATTTTACAAGCCAAAACCTCATCATGTGACTATACTGAAATCTGTCCGAGTGGCGAAATATTCTCTGAAATCGTGCAGACGGTACAGTCCATCTTTGGTATTCCAGCACACAATACTTCGATAGAAAGGTTAGGTTAGTTGCGTATCCTTTACAGCACGTTGCAGAACCAACCCCAACAGCCCCTGTCTGTTGTGTGGTTTTTCTAGGCAAATTTACGTCCAGTAATTTACCATTGCTTTCTGGACGGTCAGTTTTCTTGATACCATGTCGAAACCAACACCAGGCGCATGGCAAGCAGCTGTGATCGAACCCAGCATCCCGGCATTACGAAGCGTTCGCATCGACTTCCGATAGAAAGACTATTTTCTTTAATCCACGCCCAATTTCCTTTTGGGAGAAATCATCTTAATATGATTCAGTCAAGATAATTTCAGTTATACAATTTAATAACAAACATTTTAAATGCAGGCAATTTCATGGACATTTGATTTAAAATAAAGACAATCGGAAAAAAAAAATCAGGTCCTCAGAAAAATATTCATAGAAAACAATTTAAATGGAATTTGGGTGATGCAATTCACGCAACGTGTTGCATTCTACAGTTGAAACTACAGTGTTTCGAAATGATAACATTCGTACTATATGTATGTAAGTTGTACCCCACCAGGACATCACACAAGGGACAAACACCCGATGACACAATGTGCCACCATGCGGACGAGGATCACCCGGGGAGAGGCCCAGGAAATCCCGTTTAGCCGTTACCCATTTTTCAGGCGGAGCTATATTTAGGGCCGCCGGCAAAAGCCATAGATGGGCTTCAAAATAACTCAGAATTGCATCCTGCAAGGTGATGATGAAAAGATTGTGATAAGCTCAGGTAAGTATAATCGTACTATATGACTGACTGACTTTCTACCCCACCAGGGACATTACACAAGCGATAAACACCAGATGACACAATGTGCCACCATGCGGGTGAGGATCACCCTGGAGAGGTCCTAGAAACCGCGTTCAGCCTTTAGGCCATATTCATGGCCAGGCTATATCGCGGCCCCTGGCAAGAGCCAGAGTAGGGCTTCAAATAACGAAAAATGTCATCCTTAAAAGAACGGGAAGTAGTTTTTTAATTGTACTATATGTCCATCTTTGAATCTACTGAACAAGAGCCAGTCAGTAACTTGAGTGTTTTTTTCGTATTCAGCACCCAGACATTTGACTGACTGTTTCATGTCAGTGCCAGGATTTGCTTGTCTACTATTATGACGTCATAGGTCAGATGTCTTGGTTTGCCGTATTGAATTGACATCCGTAATGCGACTCATAAAGTCGCAAGGGGTATGGCTCCTCCAGGCCGCAGCTCAAAGAGAAGAAAAAGTCAGTCACTCAACCTTATTAACCAACCTAGGTTACGGAATGAGGAAAAATAAAAATCAATTACAGGCATTTACGGTGGCGGATCTTGTATGAACACTGCATCGGCCCTATATTTTCACCGATATTTTCTAAAACATTAAATATAATATTCTTTTTAAATTCTGTTAATAATTCTTTTTTTACTTGTACATTAAATTAAATTTCCGTAGATATCGTTTACAACGGAAAGATTAAAGAAGAATATTTGTACAAAAGGCTGTACTGGCAATTTTGAGTCAACGCTGTCTGACCGTCATTTATCGTAAAGTTTGAACATTTAATTTTAATCACTGAACGAATTGTAAAAACATAATATTCACTTTGTATATTTTGATAATTTAGTCTGCATTTCTAATAGTTATACAAACACTTTTGTTTTTATTGTGTAGTTTTGTTATCTTACCAACTATACAAACACTTTTGTTTTTATTGTGTAGTTTTGTTATCTTACCAACTTCTTTTCCTCGATGTACAAAATATGCTGTCACCTGAGCCGCAACCTTTACCAAAAAGCTGTCAGCAACCTAGACGAAACAAACATTCTATTATGACCAAAACAGAAACGCAGTCAGCGTATTAGATGAATCACCTGACAAAATTTCACTGCCATAAAGCAGAGTGCTGAGAACACAAGCCTGAGAGACCAAGAGTTTTTGTTTTAATCGAGAACTGGTTGTTCTCCTAGACTAGTTTGTGTGTGTGAGCGTGTGTGTGTGTGTGTGTGAGCGTGTGTGTGAGCGTGTGTGTGTGTGTGTCTGTGTTTGTGTGTGTTTGGGTGTGTGTGTGTGTTAAATCTGCTCATTTTTTATGCTGCCGTACCCATCCTGATGTTGATTTATTGGTCCAGCGATAGTTTGTATTTCACTGTGGATTCCAGATAGATCAAATGGGCAACTGTAACCAGCTCCTCGCCATCAATATAGACCTCAGGTCTATCATTGACATCTTGCGCTATAGCTGCAGGACGAAGTTATGTTTCTTTTCATTTATTGCCTTGTGCATTGATTGTTATAGCCTCGGATACGGGTTTTCTTCTAGCTCCAAGCACCCATTAAAGTACACAGGTCATGGCGGATCAGTACCGTACTGGCTGGGATCTGCTCAGCAGGAGGCGGGTGTTAGCTGACTAGTGACATTCGAATATGTCTCCCACCGTCGAATGCAACAAGTGGCGCCCTCATTTACGCCAGTTAACAAGGACTTATAACCTGTAACCACTGCCTCTGGATTTGTTTCCGAGACCAATTAAGTCTCGGGCAGTATTCTAGGGACCATATGGTGCCCATGCAGCATGATCTCTCTCGACTTGCCATGTTTACTCCCAAAAAAAAGCTAACACCAGTACGTTTGGAACAAAGCAGGTGGCAGAAGCTGCCGGATCAGAAGAGCAGTGCTCTATCTGTCCGCCTGTCGGAGCTTCTCTCCTAGACCAGCTGCTAGCCAAGGCTAAGTGCCTGGACTGCCCTGACCTGGGATGAGGCTGGTATCCTCCCTACTGCACTCCTTCGCCCGAAACTGTTGACACAATATGGGATGTCATGTTTGGTATACACCGCCCAACATTCGGCATTAACAGAAGACAGGGGGTACAGGCTACTGTTACACGGTAGCTCAGTCATATCTAACCTAGACCTGACCAACAACAACGGTAAACTTACTTAAAATAGACCATAGCTGATAAGCCGAGACCCTGGCAAAGGCACGATCGCCCATGCCTGTTTACAATGTACATGATGATGACGAATGTTGATTACATCCCAAGTCCCTTATATTTTCCTACTTTACATCTCTCATTCCCTTTCCGACACCCCAGTCAGTCAAAACTTGTATCATTCAGGCTCACATGCCTCAACTTAATTGTGTGTTTGCACCTCTCTCTCTCTCTCTCTCTCTCTCTCTCTCTCTCTCTCTCTCTCTCTCTCTCTCTCTCTCTCTCTCTCTTTCTCTCTCTCTCTCTCTCTCTCTCTCTCTCTCTCTCTCTCTCTCTCTCTCTCTCTCTCTCTCTCTCTCTCTCTCACTCCCTTTTAAATATGCTATTGTATTGCTCCCCGTTGCGACTTTGAGTATTTTATTGATAAGATGTAGCACCATCTTGGATTAAACTTCTGATTTACTGATTTAAGAATCGACATCATAGCACACCGGGCATACCCATAGATGCTCTGTCTCCCGCAGCAAATGACGTAAGGTGTAGATGCTAACTGTTCCTGTAGCACACTGATTATACTCACGCTGATCGCTTTCTCTCATCTGCGCCTCCTTGTCAGATCCACACTTAATTCCTCGTTCACACGTTCTTGCCCATTTTATTTCATCTAATCTCGTATCTTCTCCCAACAGTCGTTCATATTTGGTCGTCACAATATCTCCCTTGTCCAGTAAGAGTGTTCCCGTAGTTTTGGCTTTTGTAGCCAGATTTCATCCCCCCCCCCACCCCACCCACCTCCACCCCCTCCCTTGCATGTCCCAGACATGATACGACGTGATACCCTGCAATGTTGGCGTACTGGTGCATGGTATCCACTCTTGCCACATTAGTCCACTTTAAATCTTCCGCATACAGACTGAAGATCAGACGCACTAATTCCTCTAGTTTTCGTTTTTTGCTATCTACTTTAGAGCTGCAGTGATTGCCTTCACTTCTATTCTCATTTGAACTTGTAGATGGAAAAAAAAAGCTCCGTTTTGTTCTGCCACATTTTTTCTCTTCATTCTAGCTGAAACCCCCCAGCCAGATACTACACGTCGATGAACAGAACCTTCGATATACTCTACTGCATCATCTAGTCCAGCCTTTCCATCTATCAGTTGTTTTACCTCTAATTCTGTCATACGGTTACACCACTCTCTAGATTCCCATCCTAACGGGATAATGACCTGATGGAAACTGGTATTGTGGGTGTTCGTGTCGACCCATTCCTGCCCCCTGTGTATTTGCTTGACTGAGGCCGCCGTCTTGATGGTATCTTTAGCTATTACCATCCATGACTTTCCTTTTTTCAACCGGTCTTTTCTTAAATCGTTCAAATTACCATGCAGCGAATGCCTTTCGTCATAGGTAACTAGCATTTAGGCCTTGGCTTGCGCCAGTAAAAGACTAGACTTTACCGATGTCAGACCAGGCATATACCTCATAGTTCTAACTGGGGTGTCCTGTGTGCGTGCAGCCCAAGACGATTCTCATTCCTTCATTTTTAATCCTTTTGAGCTTTGTACACTGTGAAGTAGATAGGGTTAATATTCCTAGGCCATAATCGATTACAGAAAGGACCAAATGGTTGAACAATAAGACCAATAATCTCTGCTCCATGTGCGTCGCTACCATCGTCTTCAGTGCCGCCAGGCCACGCTTGCATTTGATAACCGTCTGCTCTACGTGAACCTCTATCACAGCTAACATCACCAACAATTATCTAGTGGCTCTATCACAGCTAACATCACCAACAATTATCTAGGGGCTTTATCCCAGCTAACATCACCAACAATTATCTAGTGGCTCTATCACAGCTAACATCACCAACAATTATCTAGTGGCTCTATCACAGCTAACATCACCAACAATTATCTAGTGGCTCTATCACAGCTAACATCACCAACAATTACTAGTGGCTCTATCACAGCTAACATCACCAACAATTATCTAGTGGCTCTATCACAGCTAACATCACCAACAATTACTAGTGGCTCTATCACAGCTAACATCACCAACAATTATCTAGTGGCTCCATCACCTGCTGCCATGTTAGGCCAGAGGTGGAACCTAAATCATGGATGGGGGGCTAAGTGAGTTTTTTTTTTTGGGGGGGGGGAGGGGGGGGGCGGGGGAGGGGAAACACAAAAGTCGGAACGTTCATATTGTTGTATAATGCATACTATTCTCCGTATAGGATACAACAGCGAACACCTACCTTCTTAAGGAATTTCTCATTGGCTAAAACGGATCTGAAACATTTGAGGTATAATGTTTAGGTCTATTTGTAGTTCTGATTCAGAAAATGAACCATAATTATAGATAAATCAGAAATTACTGCTTGTTAATTAAATTCACACAAGCACATGAATTCTTCTGCTTCATTCTCAGATGATGTTATTCAGTCGTGCAGAAGTCTTCCAAATTTACTGTATTTATATATATATATATATACACGCAACCACACATGCATACATATACACATACATACACACGCAGATAATACCCACATACATACCGACATAATACCCACATACATACATACATACATACATACACACACACACACACACACACACATACACACATACACACATACACACACACATACACACATACACACATACACACATACACACACACACATATACACACACACACACACACACACATACACACACACATACACACATACACACATACACACACACACACACACACACACACACACACACACACACACACATACATACATACATACATACATACATACATACATACATACATACATACATACATACATACATACATACATACATACATACATACATACATACATACATACATACATACATACATACATACATACATACATACATACATACATACATACATACATACATACATACATACATACATACATACATACATACATACATACATACATACATACATACATACATACATACATACATACATACATACATACATACATACATACATACATACATACATACATACATACATACATACATACATACATACATACATACATACATACATACATACATACATACATACATACATACATACATACATACATACATACATACATACATACATACATACATACATACATACATACATACATACATACATACATACATACATACATACATACATACATACATACACACATACACACATATACATACAAACATACATACAATCACACAGACAGACAGACAGACAGACAGACAGACAGACAGACAGACAGACAGACAGACAGACAGACAGACAGACAGACAGACAGACAGACAGACAGACAGACAGACAGACAGACAGACAGACAGACAGACAGACAGACAGACAGACAGACAGACAGACAGACAGACAGACAGACAGACGGACGGACGGACGGACGGACGGACGGACGGACGGACGGACGGACAGACAGACAGACAGACAGACAGACGGACAGACAGACAGACAGACAGACAGACGGACGGACGGACGGACGGACGGACGGACAGACAGACAGACAGACAGACAGACAGACAGACAGACAGACAGACAGACAGACAGACAGACAGACAGGCAGACGCATATACATCAGTTTATGTACTAATATTACAAATTAACAGCATCTGTATTTCAGACATATGCAAGAGCGTTGCGTTGCTTCAGGCATTTCAATCTGGAAATCTCTAAACTAGGCAGCCGGTGTAAGGTAACTATGCAACGGATACGATCCCACTGTGGGGTTCAAGGAAATGAAAGAGCTGATAAACTAGTTAAGGAAGGTGCAAATGAAGAACAGCCTGACGAACCAGTCTCTTATCAACAAAAGAAGAGAATAATCACATCAATCAGAAAGCCACCAAAACAGGCACAAGACCATAACCATTTTATGGACAGACCAGAGCACGTTATTTTGTTTACGTCTTAGAACAGGACACAATCGTCTTCGCAGCTACATGTACACAAAATTTAAAATCGGTAAATCAACCATGTGCACATGTGGACTGGCACCTGAGACAACAGATCGTGTCCTCCAAGACTGTCCCAAATACAACATATCAATGCAAAACTTTTCGCCAAAAGAAACATCGGTGCCAGTCAAACTTTACGGGTAGCTGAGGGAATTACAAAAGACGGTGAAGTTCACACTAGAGACAAGATTCCATATTTATGCATGCTGCAGGAGATCACAGATTATGGAGAGGCATGATCGCCCACGCCAGTCGGCAAGGCACCTGATGATGTTGATGATCTCCCTCAGGACTATACTTGTATATCTTAGGATCTAAAGTCGAAATCCGGTCCTTGCTACACTAATTGTATGACGTGAGGATTCATTTTATTCATTAATAAAAATTGTATTTCAAATTTGTACATAATATTATATGTGCATCCTAAGATGCGTTGCTACTTACTTCATAATCCAACGGTATACCATTGTGCGGGGTAACCTGAGAGGAATTTTGACATGCCTCTCTAGTACAGTGTTAACCACCAGCAGTTATTTATGCAGCCGTGGACTAAACAATACATTTACACATCATTTCATTTTGGTTCCCAAGGTCCCATATTTTCAACCACGGAATTACGTCACGCGGTAATTGTAAAATCTAGAAAACGCAATTTCGTTGGCTCTGCCAAAGAAACCTGGCACTTTAAAATGTGAAGACTATCGTACCATCTTATGAGTCGTGTGACAAAAATGTTACTGAGAATAATTATGAGAAGAATGCGAAACAAGATTAAACCAGAAATTTGTGAAGAGCGATATGGATTTATGGAAGAAAAAGGTAAAAACAATGCCTTATACATCCTCAGAACTCTTTCAGAAGAAGCTATTGGAGTGAAAAACGATCTTTACTTATGTTTCATTGATGGTACGAAAGCATTTGGTTGTATAAAACATAAGGAAATAATCAAACTTTTGGAAAAGTTAAACACTGATAGAAAAGATTTGTGAATTATAAAGACCATGTATATACAGCAAACAGTAGTTATAAAATTAATAAACAGTTAGGAACATACCTACAGAGGGGAGTAAGACAAGGATGCATACTATCACCTGATTTGTTTGCCTTGTACAGTGAATATATTTTGATGAGATCTATCATGGCTATGCAAGGAATTGTGGTTGGTGGACATAACATAAACAATATATGTTATTCTGAGGACACCGTCTTGGTAGCGACAAGTCAGAAACAACTACAGGAATTGATAATTGGTGGTAGAAAACGATACAATGGGCCTCAGTTTGAATGATGGAAAGACAGAAGTAATGGTGATTTCCAAGAAAAGAATAGTGCCTAGTGAAGATACTAATGGGACCCTTTGTCCTCTGGTTAACTACTCGTCTTGCCCCTCCCCCCTCCCCCTCCACCCCTCGGTGCCCAGGACTTACAGACCATCCCCGTTGCTACATTCTCTCCAGGTAGGGGTTTTCAGTATCTCCTATTCTACTTGTTACCTCGCCCCACAGGTAAGAAGAGATCATCTCCTCCCTGTGCAGCTGCAGTACACCCCCAAAAGTGTGACCAGTCCAGCCAACATTTACGCTGGCTCTTTCTCAAAGAAGTGTGAATGGTCCAGGAAAAATACCCATGTGACTTTCGCTACCTGCGACCTTCTAACTAATGCGACCCATTTTATTCGAGAAAATGTATCTTCGTCCTCCCGAGCATGCTTTGTAAATCCGAGGCTATGACAATATCTGTGGCAAAGATTGTCTTCACATCACCCATCTTGTGCCGATTCGTCTATAAAAATTAAGGTCTAGCCCTATATGCCTACAAACGTGGAAAAGGACCTTTACTTACGTTACTAAGATTCTCTCCTTTTATCTACCGTCTCAACCTCCATTCTCTCCTCTTATCTACCGTCTCAACCTCCATTCTCCCCTCTTATCTACCGTCTCAACCTCCATTCTCTCCTCTTATCTACCGTCTCAACCTCCATTCTCTCCTCTTATCTACCGTCTCAACCTCCATTCTCTCCTCTTATCTACCGTCTCAACCTCCATTCTCTCCTCTTATCTACCGTCTCAACCTCTATTCTCTCCTCTTATCTACCGTCTCAACCTCCATTCTCTCCTCTTATCTACCGTCTCAACCTCCATTCTCTCCTCTTATCTACCGTCTCAACCTCTATTCTCTCCTCTTATCTACCGTCTCAACCTCCATTCTCTCCTCTTATCTACCGTCTCAACCTCTATTCTCTCCTCTTATCTACCGTCTCAACCTCCATTCTCTCCTCTTATCTACCGTCTCAACCTCCATTCTCTCCTCTTATCTACCGTCTCAACCTCCATTCTCTCCTCTTATCTACCGTCTCAACCTCCATTCTCATGCCGGAAATGGTACTGTCGCGTACCGAGCTCATCACAATCATCCTTCTCCCCTATACTTTTGCAACCAAGCCCAAACCACTCTTTCTTCCCCTTGCCACTAACCCATGTGATAATAATCGCATCTCCAGGTCTATAGTTGTCCTCTATCAGCTAATGAACCATAAGTGATAATAATCGCATCTCCAGGTCTATAGTTGTCCTCTATCAGCTAATGAACCATAAGTGATAATAATCACATCTCCAGGTCTATAGTTGTCCTCTATCAGCTAATGAACCATAAGTGATAATAATCACATCTCCAGGTCTATAGTTGTCCTCTATCAGCTAATGAACCATAAGTGATAATAATCACATCTTCAGGTCTATAGTTGTCCTCTATCAGCTAATGAACCATAAGTGATAATAATCGCATCTCCAGGTCTATAGTTGTCCTCTATCAGCTAATGAACCATAAGTGATAATAATCACATCTCCAGGTCTATAGTTGTCCTCTATCAGCTAATGAACCATAAGTGATAATAATCGCATCTCCAGGTCTATAGTTGTCCTCTATCAGCTTATGAACCATAAGTGAAAATAATCACATCTTCAGGTCTATAGTTGTCCTCTATCAGCTTATGAACCATAAGTGATAATAATCACATCTCCAGGTCTATAGTTGTCCTCTATCAGCTAATGAACCATAAGTAAAAATAATCACATCTCCAGGACTATAGTTGTCCTCTATCAGCTAATGATCCATAAGTGATAATAATCACATCTCCAGGTCTATAGTTGTCCTCTATCAGCTTATGAACCATAAGTGATAATAATCACATCTTCAGGTCTATAGTTGTCCTCTATCAGCTTATGAACCATAAGTGAAAATAATCGTATCTCCAGGTCTATAGTTGTCCTCTATCAGCTTATGAACCATAAGTGATAATAATCACATCTCCAGGTCTATAGTTGTCCTCTATCAGCTAATGAACCATAAGTGATAATAATCACATCTTCAGGTCTATAGTTGTCCTCTATCAGCCAATGAACCTCAGCGTCTGCATGTCCTGCCGTCCATTTGTTACTTGTTGTCCTTATCGACATCCTAGCACATCGGTCCGACCCATGCATGCACTGTTCTCCGATGCAGCAGCACTCTAGTGTCTCCATGATTAAGGTACCCAGTGGGAGTTGACTGGCATATAATTTGTCTGTGCCCCGCAAACGGTTTCTGTATGCCTGTCCTAGTTTTACATTAATATCCAACAGGCGGTTCACCCTATTTCTCTTTTGTCTCAACGTCTCTGGGGCATAGCGCATTCAGTATGTCTACCGTGTCTATAGCATAGCGCATTCAGTATGTCTACCGTGTCTATAGCATAGCGCATTCAGTATATCTACCGTGTCTATAGTATAGCGCATTCAGTATGTCTACCGTGTCTAAAGCATAGCGCATTCAGTATATCTACCGTGTCTATAGCATAGCGCATTCAGTATATCTACCGTGTCTATAGTATAGCGCATTCAGTATATCTACCGTGTCTATAGCATAGCGCATTCACTATGTCTACTGTGTCTATAGTATAGCGCATTCAGTATGTCTACCGTGTCTATAGCATAACGCATTCAGTATGTCTGCCGTGTCTATAGCATAGCGCATTCAGTATGTCTACCGTGTCTATAGCATAGCGCATTCAGTATGTCTACCGTGTCTATAGCATAGCGCATTCAGTATGTCTACCGTGTCTATAGCATATCGCATTCAGTATGTCTACCGTGTCTATAGTATAACGCATTCAGTATGTCTACCGTGTCTATAGTATAGCGCATTCAGTATGTCTACCGTGTCTATAGTATAGCGCATTCAGTATGTCTACCGTGTCTATAGTATAGCGCATTCAGTATGTCTACCGTGTCTATAGCATAGCGCATTCAGTATGTCTGCCGTGTCTATAGCATATCGCATTCAGTATGTCTACCGTGTCTATAGTATAGCGCATTCAGTATATCTACAGTGTCTATAGTATAGCGCATTCAGTATGTCTACCGTGTCTATAGCATAGCGCATTCAGTATGTCTACCGTGTCTATAGCATATCGCATTCAGTATGTCTATCGTGTCTATAGTATAGCGCATTCAGTATGTCTACCGTGTCTATAGTATAGCGCATTCAGTATGTCTACCGTGTCTATAGTATAGCGCATTCAGTATGTCTACTGTGTCTATAGCATAGCGCATTCAGTATGTCTACCGTGTCTATAGCATAGCGCATTCAGTATGTCTGCTGTGTCTATAGCATAGCGCATTCAGTATGTCTACCGTGTCTATAGCATAGCGCATTCAGTATGTCTACCGTGTCTATAGCATAGCGCATTCAGTATGTCTACCGTGTCTATAGCATAGCGCATTCAGTATGTCTACCGTGTCTATAGTATAGCGCATTCAGTATGTCTGCCGTGTCTATAGTATAGCGCATTCAGTATGTCTACCGTGTCTATAGCATAGCGCATTCAGTATGTCTACCGTGTCTATAGCATAGCGCATTCAGTATGTCTACCGTGTCTATAGCATAGCGCATTCAGTATGTCTACCGTGTCTATAGCATAGCGCATTCAGTATGTCTACCGTGTCTATAGCATAGCGCATTCAGTAGGTCTACCGTGTCTATAGCATAGCGCATTCAGTAGGTCTACCGTGTCTATAGCATAGCGCATTCAGTAGGTCTACCGTGTCTATAGCATAGCGCATTCAGTATGTCTACCGTGTCTATACTTCTTCCTCCACTAACCACTGCCAATCTGTTGGCTTTTTCATTTTCTGTCACCCTGGCATGTGCGACCAGTATAGTTTCTAGAGGTGGAATGTGTGGATGATATTAACCCATTCATTATAGTTGGAGTTTAATAGTTTGAATCTTCTTATGTTTGCTCACTGAGTCCGTCACTATCAATGCGTGCGTTGTTTTCTGTTCTGGCAGCCCTGCAAGTGCTGTTTGACAGCTGCTATTTCCATTGTCATGCTAAATTTAGTTAAACTGAATGCTTTGATTTTTACCGTCTTCTCATTCAACTGTGCAAAGAGTTCCCACACAGAGCGCACACAACGAAACACTCTGG